AATTTATAACTAACTAGTAGAGTGGTATGAATTATTATAACCCTTATTCAAGTTTAATATAAATATTTGAACATATTTATATTTACAGTGTAAACAAACATTTGTTTTGTCAGGAAAGAAATATCTCAAAATTTTTGAAAGAGATCTACATACATAATGTGTGTGTGATTATGCAATTGCCCATCAACTCCATAATAATAAATTCAAATCAGCAAAACTTTTCTTAAAAAATTAAATTTTCTTTTTGAGGTGCCATACCATTTTGATTAGTTTTTATTTTAATCTAATATATATTAAAAGACATCTTTGATGTCACTTAAAAAAAATACAATGGCTTCTGTTAAGATCATTACTATACACTACTTGAGTTAAAATTTCTTGTCCAACACTGCACTAATTTTTCTCTTTTAGACTGCAGTTGGAGATGTCATTCAGACACGTTTTTATCACACAGCTGTTTTAGGTAAATTAAATTTCACTAAACTTCGTTTTTAAAAAATTACGAATAAATAATTTTTCAAATGTTATAAAAAGCTCCAGATGGTAAAATTATAATATATGGAGGTGCTAACACTGAGAAAGGTGCAATGTCAGAACCAGCTATGGTCTTGTTAGATACAAACAATAGTCCATATTCTTGGTCAATTCCTAATATTCCATCCAATCCACCTCCACCTCCACCTCTATTGCAACATACAGCCAATTTGGTTGGAAATTATATGATAGTGGCCTTTGGTAATTATATATATATAACTATATAATAGTGTGATTTTTTAAAAATATGTGAAAATTCAATTTATAATTTATTATTTTTTAGGGTCATTAAGTTTGTTCACACAATCATCTAGTGAAATCTATTTATTTGATACCCATACATATACTTGGGTAACAAGATTTGACCAACAATCCAACTCTTCTACTACCACAAACAGTCCTAATCTACCAAATGCAACAACAGGAGGAACTTCACAAGCTTCAGAAACTTCACAAGCTTCAGAAACTTCACAGGCTTCAGAAACTTCACAAGCTTCACAATATGATGCACGTTTAATAGGTATAAGTGTAGGTGCTACTCTAGGTGCCATTATTTTAATAGGTGCAGTGGCATTTTTGAGTTATCATTATTATAAAAAGAAAAAATTTAAAAATGTTTACCTTACACCAGGTAGTAATATGACAAATTAGTGCAGTGTTGGGCAAGAAATTTTAACTTGAGTAATTTTATATAGTAATGATTATCTTAACAGAAGTCTTTGTATTTTTTTAAGTGGTATCAAAGATATAATATATTTTGGCATATATAAGATTAAAATAAAAATGAACCAAAATGGTATAGTCAGTCATCTCAAAAAGAAAGTATAATTGTTTAAGAAAAAATTAGAATATCCACCAATATATAAAATTTCACCATTTTTTAACAAAACACTTGTGGCATGTGTTCTTTTGAAAGCTGGATCTGC